ACACACACACACACACACACACACACACACTTTACTGTGCATGATTGACATATACTGACAAGGACACAGACACACAGTAACCTGTTGTTTCGCCCTCACACTGTGTTATATTTTAGCATTATCGTTTTACAAATGTTATCAGTGCTGGATTTGACATTTTGGAAATTCTGCACTGGCCTTTCAGTGTAGATGTGGCAATAAAATCAAAGTCATCTTTCCCAATTTTCCAGTAAAATCAAAGAAGCCAAAATGTGCTTTTAACATTCCACTATTTGCAGAATGAAATAAAACAGACATTCAATCAATCAGTCATCAGGGCCCAAAACATTCTTTTTAAATGTATAGTTTTTTTTTGTCTATCAAGACATGCGTTACAAGAGCCTAGGTACTCACATTGTCAAATAGTGACTGTTGTTTCTGGAAAGATACTTTCCCCCCTCATGTCAATAGTCAGGATATTCTAGCTGTACTGAACTGCAATGACTTCTTTCATTCAGCCTGATGTTGTGCCCATGTTGGCCAGTTTCATGGGAAGGGAGCTTATTTTGCCCAAACCAGTCAGTCAGTAGCGAGACACATAGAAATATGAAGTCCCAGTGCAAATTGTGACTTGCTTCTTTCTCTAACCAGGGGGCAACTGCTGTCAGTGAGTGCAACACCAGAGCAATTTAATTCTCTGAGCAAACCTGAGCTGGGAGTAGTGATTCAGAGGTCTGGAACCAGACTAGCATAGTGGCCAGTAGAGGAACTGCAGCTGAACTGACCTGCTCACGTCTGTCAGCTGCACTGGCTGCTGTTTGAAACAACATGCTTCATTCCCTAAAGAACTACTGAAAGCCATACAGCAAAAGGAACATATGGAGGACAAGCCAGACCAATATAGACATCCCATTATTAAGTGCAAGCAGCCCACCTCTCCTGTCCAGCTGTGTCCCAGAGCTGAAGGTGAACCTTGAAGGTTTTCCCTGTGGCTGTTCCATTGGTGTTGGATGATGTGTACACCTGAGGAGGCACAAACAACACTAGTTTTTAATCTTCATGAATCTTAATGTCTAAAGGAAAAAACCCTCTTTAAACTGAGATATAAACCAATACTGTACATCTGGTCATATGACATTTTTAAAATATAGCATATAGTCTACCAAAACAAATAAAAACAGAACAAATATATTACAAACACTGCTCAGCAAAAAACAATACAATTAAACAGCCCCACAAACTGCAGCCTCCAGGCCATAAATCAGCAGCAACACTTCCCTACATCAGTTAAACAGGCAGGATTTATTGGATTAGTTTTGACCAATGGTGCCTTAATATACTAGCACTGTCTTGATAATAATACATAATCATCAGGAAAGATGTTATATATTATTATATATGATCCCATTTAAGTAGCAGCTGCAGACTCGTGCTCTCAGGTTGCAGATAACATTCTAAAGAAGAATTTAAAGCACAGAAAGTTACCCCTGTATGAAGGGAACGCATTGCTGATGTATCCCAAGGTTGATAAGCAACTCCTCAGTCCAGCTCCTGGTCAGGTCTGTCTCATACTTGTGACCATACCCATCTCTGATTATAGCACGGTCCTCTAGCACAAAACATCAGCACATCAAAGCTGCACGAGATGTGGAAAGTGCATGTTGGCAATACAAACCTGATTGCCGAAAGGATTTGCTGCAATTAGTGAACTCTCTTGCGGGGGCCAAGTAAATATGCATGTTACGGTTCAACTGTGGCAAAATTTGATGTGCAAATTTGCACTGATAACCAAAACTATTCCACTAAAGAGCAATGGTTTTTAGACAGTTATAACACAGACATATTTTTGAATAAACGTTGTGAACATAACTACCTTTCCCCACTTCAGTAACTCTTTATTGAATGAACCGCTGTAAAATTCTGAGTGTGAAACCCCAGGTGACAGTAAACGGCCCAGTACAGGAAGAGCACAGTGAAGCTTGGGGAGTAATTGTGAATGACAAACACTAGCCCAGGTGGCTGGCATGTTAGCGATTAGCTCACTAGTCCCAGTTTTTTTGCCAACCAGCAGTGTGACCACTCTCTAGATCACCAGGCTTCTAGAACCAAGTATTCTGCAAAGGTGGATAAGTCAATTTCAAAGTCAACTTCAAGGTCCACATTTCATCAACTCACTAGCACCCAAAGCAATATGCCATCACCAAAGCAGCTCCAAGTGCTGGTTTTGTTTTAAACATCCTGTAGGTTGATTTTTCACTTCTCTGCTGCTTACTGTTACTAATTTTACAGCAAATTTGTCTACCAGTGATCATGATTCTGCAATGACAAACTCCTGTGTGCTACAGTGGGCTGTGTTTGTGTCTGCAGGAAGCCTCGGGCCTCATTCTCACCTCTGACTCTCCCAGATGAGACACGCCAACACTGCTACTCTTAAGGCTCTGTTCACAACAATTACATTCAGAGCAGTTAGGGTGAACTCCAGTGTTTTTGGTTTCCAGGTAATAACTGACTGTTAGATCAGTACATGACAGTGCAAGTCCTTTACAGCTAGACCTCTGGGGGTGCGGAGCTTTGATGGAAAACCATGTGGAGTATTAACACAAATGCCACAACTGCACATTTTCAATTCAGTCAACTGTATAAACATTTTGCTACAAAAGCTCTTTTTACTAACAAAATAAGTAAAAATTTCTGTATGCATCAGTGTTTAAAATCTAAACACATACAGCAACATAAAAGCTATACCTAAATTAAATACAACACACCAAGCCAGTTGGGCCTAGAGCATGGATCAGGCTGCATATTTCTGTCTGAACTTGACCCGTGCCCGAGAGTGCAAGCTTATGATACAACATCCGAACCTGCGTTTTTCCCCTTATCAAATGAAGCAGACATTTGTGTTCTACAGCCGTCTAGCCTAAAGTTTGATCTACATGTCCAAACATGATGTGGCCCCGAACGTAATTTAAATTTCTGTCCAAACCCTTGGGTACCGACGGGTTCCATTGGGCTCAGTTCAGATATCCAGACTCTAGTTGGGCCAGCCACCATATAACCTGAGCAAATACTGTACTATGTGTCAAGCACTAAATATCTGCTCTTTGCATGGGTGGGAGTAGGATTCAGGGATGCTTTGTATTAAGGTTAGAGTGATGACGGGCTATGATAGGTTAGGATTAGAGTGCAGTGTCCTGGGTAATGGTGTATATGAAATTACTGAATGTGTATTTTAGGTTAGGACTGAAAAATGGTGTTACTTAATATAGGGCCCTGAAGATTTATGATGGCTTGGCCTGATGGGCTTTAAAGCCAGACGCCCTAAATGGCGGTGTCGGTATGAAATGTAATGTGCTCAGGTTTACTAATAAGCCTGTCACGGCAGATACCCACGTTTTCCTGGCTGTAGTGATCACTGAACTGCCAATTCACTGCCTGCCTAAAATGCAAGGGATTGTGGGTAGCATGTCATATGACATCTGTCTACAAATTCTGGCTCAGTGGCTTAAAGAATAAAAACAACTGGTCCACTTTCAGCTTCAGGCTCCCTAAATACCCCGAGGAGGATGCAGTGACAGCACTGAACTACAGCTGTGATCACATGCGCCTGCTTCTGATTCTAGACAGGACAACGTGAAAACAGGGTGTGACCTTAACTAACATTCACATGCAAACAGAAGAGGTGAGGAACAATTGTTGATCTTATTAGTCATCCAAAGTAGAAACGTCAGCATTTCATACGTGTGAAAACAGAAAAGCCCACTGACCAAACCAGGCCTCGCCCAGATTGAGATGATTGCATCTCAAACATCAGTGCCTGGAAGTGTGTATGCTCATCCTTGGAACAAGTCGCAGTGGTAGTTTAAAGTCACAATCCACCCTTAATCTTTTGAGTATGGAAACTCTTTACAGTCTTGACAGATGGCTATAAAAGGTCCATGTTTTGATTCTTCACAGTGAAGAGCAGCTGTTGCAAGACTGGATTTATGTTCATTCACAATGGACTCCAATACTGATGAGGTTTTACGCTGACAAAACAAAGACCTGTAACACCCTTTAGCAAAATCCTGTTATGCTGCTGTACTTTTGTATGTTCAATGCTAATTTGTGCACCAAAATACATGGTGTCATCAGCCACCTCAGATATCTCAGACATTTGTCAGGAAACGTCAACTGTCATATTTCCTGGGGCCAATGGCCTCAGCTCTCTTGAAAAGAGCATTTTGATCACATTAACTGCCAAGACCAGCACTTTCATACTGCAGCTTGACTACATCAGTATGGCACGCCCAATATGTGCAGTTCAGTGGTCGGCTTATAACTTAGCTGTCAACTTGTCGATTTTATTAATCTACATCTAATCATAGTTCAGGAGTCACAAAATACTCTGATGGGTCAAAAGTCTGTTTTGCTGTTTAGTATGGAGGACCTGGTGGTTTAGATACACTTTGCTAGCAGCATGGCTGTAGACTAGTCTCAATTTGAGCTAAATTGGAAAAAATATATTTTTAGCCACTGTGCATCACAAGATGCTGGAAATTACAATGTCAAGGGTGGCCACTACGCCACAACTGCAATGGACCTTAGTGCTCTTTCTGAGGCCTTGTGCTCACCATGGCCACCCTTTTACTGCAGCATGTTAACACACTAACTTTTGCTAATTAGCACCAAACACAACGTGCATCTGAGGCTGATGGGAACGTCTCTAGTTTTGGTCATGAACCAAAGCACTGAACAAAGTGAAATTCTGACTTGCTCGTGGTGCTAGATAAGTTTGGGAATCATCGAACTTATTAGAATTCATCTGGAGGGGAAACCAAAAAAAATAAACTGTAATGACCTGCTCAAAATTTAGTCCATAACTCAATAGGCAGCTGGGCATGTTCTGAACTCATTAGTAAATAAAATAAGCAAATACCGAAGTAAACAATAGTACCCTCCATCACCTGTGTGTGGAATCCACCATACGAGAAAACTAAGGTGTAGTTGAGATGCGCTCACCACTCTTTTTTCCCTGAAGTCGATGCCGACTGTGGTGATGAACTTGGGGTTGAACTTGTTGTCTGTGTATCGGTACAGGAAGGTGGTCTTCCCCACACCAGAGTCCCCCAGGGCAAGGAGCTTTATAAGGTAGTCATAATCTCCATCAGTCATAGTGATGACCACAAAAAGCCTGTGGAAAACAGACAGAGATGCATGTTAACATATACACACACACAGCTCAGGTTTCTGCTTCCATGTGTGAAAAATTACAAGTGACTTGAATAATGAAACAGAAGAAAAGAGGAAATCAGAGGCACTGACATCCAGGCTTGAGATGCCTGTTCACACAAGTTGAACGAGCCACTAAACGGAAAACATGGTCAGTGACAAAAGTGTTGTGTGTGTTATTATACTGTACTACCTACTGGTGAATTATGGGAGTGGGGCCCACAGGGTCGTCCTGACCAGAACATTACTTTCTGGGAAAACAGTAACTTGCACTGTGTGTGTGTGTGTGTGTGTGTGTGTGTGTGTGTGTGTGTGTGTGTGTGTGTGCACGTCTTTCTATGCTTGTCTGGACAGATTTTAGTTCTTGGTGAGTTATGTTCTCATCGTACATTAACACAGAGCAGACTTTTCAAGTTGATATGCCAACACAACTTACAATTATCATCCTCACTTTGATTCATGAAGTAAAACCAATGATTTCCTCAGTAACAACATGAAACTAAATTGTTTAAGATTTAGTCATGTTCTATATGAAAATAGCCACTGGTTAATAAGGGTTGGAGAACAGTCATTGTAACTTATTTAGGTTTCCTTCATTTGTGGAAACACTTTGCTTATACGTGACACAGACCACTCCGATTTCTTTCTTCCCTTTCTCTCACACCTCGGCATCCATCCACCAATCCCCTGACAAAGCCCTGTGGAGATGTGACCCAGGAGGTGAGTCAAGGAAGAAGAGCTGATCTTATTGATGTGATGTCATTGGTGGAACAATGGGAATATCTGTAGATTGATCAGTCAGTCAGTCAGTCAACCCCCACAGGTAAAACTACCAGCAGCAGCTCGGTCAGCTGACAGCAGAATCACCCCGACAACGAACAAGAGAACAGTACAAAAGCAGTACAGAAAAGAAGAAACCAAGGATGCATTTGAAAATGTTTTGCTTAATTTCTTGGCAATAGTAAAGGGGAAAAAGATCTGATTCACCAATTCATAAAACACAATGTATTCAAATAATGTTTTGAAAGCAATGCTTAAAGCAGGTCTAACTGGTATTTTTAGAATAACAATATATGAAATGTCAAAACAATGCGATCATTATAAATGACCTGCTCAAACTGGACTGCCATTCTTTAGATGCCAGAAAGATGGCTATGAATGAAGGCTTCACAACTGTATAAATAAGCAGCAGTTTTCAAAAACTTAGATATTTTTAGCTTAAAAGGTGATGATATGTCAGTGTTGTGTTCACAGTTTGTTTCCTGTTGCCCCAAAGGGCTAAGACAAAACACCTGAATGTGTTTGCAGTGCACATTTTGCTGCCGCAGGTTGAAGAGAAGCAAAAGAAACATCACATAAGATCAATTTCCAAAAGCACAAACTTTTCACAGACAAATAGAAATATTACTTCACAGCTTTCAGGTTGCAGGAGAACAGCTTTCCTTGGTGCCTGCTAAATATTGCATCTCAATAACAAGCAAGAACAAAACCATAAAATGCATAGATGCATTAAAGATGTATGCACGATCACACATATAAGTGAGGGGAAACAGAGAGAGGATGGATTCTACAACTGTCCAGAATGACTTCAGAGTTTGTATAAGGACCCATCAGCGAACATCTATGAGGAAGTTGTTTTGCTCTTCCTCCTCTGATAACCTTCATATCTGTGAGATAAAACAGACATCACCACTTTCAGTCAGATTGACATGCACAGCCTGCAGCTTCAGAAACAAATAGTAGTTACTGTGTGGAGTGTAGAGTTTTCTAATAGTTTTCTTTTGGTTAAATGCGTCTGCAGTTACACAATGACCCCAAATCCTACTCCTGGAAATTCACTTTACCACGTAGAGGATCTGCAGATTCCTTTTACTGCCAAGTAGTGAAATTCTACTTTCAAAAGCATCGCTGACACAGCATTTTCCACTATATTTACATCTTTGTGATGTTTTAACTAATCATCGTGTACCGAATGCCACTTCAGTTCTGAGTATGAATTGTCATATGTAGTAAAAGACAACAATATGCAAGCACTGTAAAAGGCTTTACCACATACTCAGGTGACTGGCTTCTCTCCTGTATGATTTCATGAGTCTCTTCAGACTTTACAACTGTGCATGAACAATGCATGAGCTTCTAACTTCTACCTGACGCCGTGTGTGACCTTCTATGCTATTTCCCCCCTCACCATACCGGATGGTCACATCACCCGTCAAGGGCGCTGCAATGACCAGTCATATTATTTCTGTAATTACAAGATGATGTTTAGCAAATAGGGCAGCACGGTGGCACAGTGGTTAGCGCCGTTGCCTCACAGCGTGAAGGTTCCGGGTTCGGGTTCGGGCCCGGGCCCCACCTGGGACCTTTCTGTGATTTCAGTCAGTACCAATAAATACTTTTCAGATATCTTCTCAAACTATTGTGAACCAATTTTGTCTGTAAAGCCAACAAATAATAAAAATACAATCTATCATGTATAAAAGGCCAGTACACATCTGTCAGAGACCTCTGTTTGGCTGTTGTGACCATATTGTACATCTTCTTAAACAAATCCAACATCTGATTTATTTTCCCATCTGCTCTGCAGAGTCAACTGAGGGCCTTTGTTGTTGTTACCAATACTCTCTCCAGAGGCAACGATCAATAACCGCTAACATGGATGAAGACTGACCCTCAATTATTCAATTTGTCCGAAACCTTTCAACATTTCAGACCCACTTAACAAAACAGTGAGACAACACAGCGAAAAGATCAATATTGTTAAACTTACAGCAGATTGGTGGCCTGGTGGCTACCACTTCTGCTCACAAAAGCTGCTGTTAATACAATTATTTATAACTATTCTTATAGTTACATACATCTTCTTTACTGCATGTTAAACTGGTTTTAAAAGTGGGACCACAGAGTCTCACTTCACTCATGAGACCGAGGGCTTCTGGAGGCAGATCAGATAGGATACCACCCGCTCCACTCAGGGGCAGTGCATCTATTTCTGTATCCACCGGCGAGTCCCACCAGGGTTTCCGCAATCCCTCCCTAATCCCACAGCAGGAGGTGGGCTAACATGTGTACAGATGCTCACACAGCTGGATCTGAAAGGTTAGAATGGATACAGGAAAACCAGGAGACAGAAAGAGGCAAGACCGGGAGGTCAAGGAGCCAGGGTCAGACCTGTACTGCAGGTCTAGAGCAAGCCATGAAGAGTGTCAGAGTTCTGCAGTTCACCAGGAGATTATAATTTTTTTTTATATGATATGATAAAAAAAAGAAGCATCACAACATTTGCTAATTATTACTAAACACAAAGCACAACTGGGACTGGCGAGACTGTCAGTTTAAGTCAAACTTAAGTCATGGACAAATTAATTTTCATGCAGATTACAAAGTAGTCAATATATAAAAGGAATAAGCACTCAATGTTTACCAGATCATAAATAAGATGATAAATATAGCTATTTGTGTCTTACTTGTCTCCACTCTGAACGACTACACACAAGGATCACTAGCTGAACAGATTGTGTTTACAGTACTGCAATAAAAACCTGTGATATTTCCATCCAAATCAATATGTTCTGCTGTCCTCTGTCTGTGGTTGCTTTAACGCAGCACTGAATCCACTTCATGAAAGCATTTCTACTTGCTCATGGTCTGGTGCTTCTGTGCTGCGACACAGGAAGTGATGGCTTTGAGCAGTTCATGGTTTCTTTGCAGATCGATGAGTAATTCCAAAGTTCTTGTTCACAGCAATACCCAAAATGGCCAAGCAGAGCGTCACGTACAGAAACTAAAGCTGCACATGGCAAACCTCTTCCTGTCCTGAAACCCTCTCAAGTGCAGGACTTTAATCCCATTACAGCAGCCACATGAAACCGGATCAAAAACAAATCAGAAGAGATCGTGCTGAAGTTCAAACTGAAAATGTACAAAGACAAGTGCTGCACAAGTGGTCTCATAACTCCAATAGCCCTTCACCGGTGGGACTGTATACAACAAACTGCCATGTTTAGGTGAAGATGTTTGTCTCTATATTAATTTGATTATTCTTCTACATACCCATTATCATCCCATGTACACTTAAACAAAAACAAGAAAGGGAAAGACTGCAAATTTTAACTACTGAAATTGTGGCATGATCAAGTAGCTCCTTTCAACAAAGAAAAAAAAAACTCTTGGGCAGCCATCACTTGTGTTGAGGTCATGTAATCAGTCAGCTGAGTGACTTTGTGATCCTGATGTTGGCCCCAGGACACGAGTGAAACACACAGCATCATTATCAGCCAGAGCGCTCGCTCTGCTCTCTGGCGTCTCCTGGGTCCTAAAGCAAAATGCCTTGACCTCACTCTGTCACTGTATATCCACTTTCAATGTTTTTATTGTTACACATCATCTCTGTCGCTAAACTGTCTCAGAATGGCAACTTCACAATCTCAGCCCAAGGTTAAAATAAAAATGGTAGAGAAAAAATAAAAATCAGTTTGACTTTATGGTTAACGTCAGTCTCCAAAGACACAGCATTTCACTCTGAGGTTCAGCTCTTGACTTCCAATGACTGATGGGTGTCGGAGGGAAAATGATCATTTAACCTTTGATCCGTGTCACAGTTAAGTGTTTCACCCATCTGTTAATTTGGCCCCGATGTCTTCAGAAGTGCACAGCGAGTCTGTGCATGAGACTCGCTGAGACTTTTAGCTTTTATGATGTTTGCTTTCTCTATCCTGAAAAAGTACTGGACAAAGTGCTCTATGTTCTTACTTAGTTTCACAGAAACCCACAGAACTATATTTAATAACAAAAACAGCTGAAATGAATGAATTTCCTTTATAATGCACCAAATATGCAGTGGAAAGTTAACTAAAGATCTTGTTAGAACATAGCAGGACTTCACACCATGTTTCTTTTGAGAGAGAGCGCGTTACTACAGGGGGTTTCACACACTAGAAACACACTTAACAGTTTTTAAAA